GTGGCCTGGACCCCCCCCAGGTAGGGGCCAGCCACAGCTTCTCTGGGCAACCTGTGCCAGGGCCTCCCCACCCTCACAGGGAAGAACTTCTTCCTAAGATCTCATCTCAGTCTCCCCTCTGTCAGTTTAAGGCCATTCCCCCTTGTCCTGTCCCTGCAGGGCCTTGTCACTAGAAGCTTTAGGCACTTTAGGCTTTAAGGCACTGGAAGCTGCTCTAAGGTCTCTGTGGAGCCTTCCGTTCTCTGGGCTGAACAAGCCCAGCTCTCTCAGCCTGTCTCCATAGCAGAGGTGCTCCAAGCTCTTGGAGCATCTTCATGACCTCCTCTGGACTCCTTCCAACAGCTGCACATCCTTCTTATGTTGGGGCTCCAGAGCTGGATGCAGGACTGAAGGGGGGAGTCTCACCAGAGTGGAGTAGAGGCAGAGAATCCTCTCTCAATCTGCTGGTCATACTGCTGCTGCTGCAGCCCAGGACATGGTGTGAGAGAAGTTCATTTGCATTTGCAAATATCCTGAGAGCACAGCAGCTGTGCTTGCTCTGACCACAGCCAGTGGTGGAACAAACATTCTCTTGGGCTTCCAACTTCTTTTCTTTGGGCAAAATGTGAGCAGGTAACCCCTGGAGTTTGCCTGTTACAAGGCTCCCTTGGTGCATCTTTAAGCATACATCGTCTTTACTCTGGGCCATGGCCTGTGGACAGCTGGGAACTCAGATTAGGAGATAAGGAAGTTATCCCGGCCCCAAAAAGAAGGAGGAGGATGATGATGATGGGAAGTGGCTCCCTGCTCTTAGCAAAATGAATGCTTACTCAAAAACTGCCTCCTGAAGTCATGTGGTCTGTTATTTTCCACATTTAAAGGTGGCTTCATCTCTCTAGGCAGTGTTGAGGACAGACTTGCTTTGCTGTAATGGGAAACATACCCCAGAGGGATTAATTATGACTAAAGCAGACAGATTAATGTTGTTTACTGCTGCCAAGGCCAGGCCTGTTGGTGGTGTATTTAAAAAGATCCAGCGCTTGAAATGGCCCCATGAGGCACTGATGTTGTAGAACCTCTGGCTCCCACCAGGAAGCTCTGGGCAGGAGGCCACTGCTGCCACAGACAGTTTAAAGTGGAGCCCAGCACATTATGTTGCTGCTGTTCCCAGGGCTGCTGCACTCCAGGGACTGGTTGCTTTGTGGAGGGGTGAACCCTTGAGGTTTGCCACTCCTCATGGCAGCTTGTCTCCAAGGACCAGACTTGCCTCCTTTTAACACTGCAGACTGACAGGTTTGGGTTGCTTTTTTTTTTACCCTTAGTAAGGAAGTAATGCAGAAGGCTCATTATTTTCACTTGACCTTCAGGGTGTCAGTGATACTGGCTAAATTCCATTGGAGACTGGAAGAGAGAAAATCTGCAGCTCCTGTAATTAAAAAAGAGCACGCTACTTTCCTGGGCTCTTGGTCCTGCTCAAAGCTTCTTTCTTGAGAACTGTGTGTCAGTCAGATTATTGCCTTGATTAGACCTGAAAAATACATTAGGGAGACCTCAGAGAAGGTTTTTAAATGCATTTATTTCTGTAGGTCAGCACGTGCTATGTTTCTTGGGCATTAGTAGTGAGTGTTGAGGGTTTGGTTTCAGACCTGGGAATCCTACTGAAAAAAAGGAAATTTTAATTGATTACTTTATTGACTAGAGCAGAGTCAGGATCTTTGGACCCAGAATGGACACAGGTGTTAAAAAGCACTGTCCCTAGCATCCAGAATCCCCATCAGTGCAGCTCAGTTGTACAGCTGCTGGGAACGGGGGAGATCGTAGAATCACGGAATGGCTTGGGTTGGAAGAAACCTTAAAGCTCATCTAATTCCAACCCCCTGCCACCGGCAGGGACACCTTCCACTAGACCCGGTTGCCCCAAGCCCTCTCCAACCTGG